AGAATTTCTGTTGTCCCTTTGAACCTAGATCTTGGGATCTCCAGTCAGCTAGGTTGGGTTTCCATTAAGGTGACTCGTTAGCTTTCGGCTTTAAACCCTATTCCCCTCGATGAACTGTACAATTGCTCTCTAGTACAACCTTCAATTTTATATGTGGCCACAATGTTGTGTTTAGAAATATTACACTCTGCAGATATTTCTCCAGGTGAGAGCAACTGTATACTTTGTGTCCTAAAATTACTTATTGTTAGCAATATCATTTTCTTTAGTGGCACAGGTGTAGACTTACTTTGAATTTTCCTCTAGGTGAAGTCTATTGACTTCCCTATTTGATTTATTCAAAGTTTCTAACTTTGAGTTATATTAAGAACATAGAACTACACCTTTAATATAAAAGACATATCCACTATTGGATTTGAAGTCTTTAATATCCCATATCCAGATTGCATCACTGTTACACCTCCAATTTAGTTATATACCTCGATCTATGCAATATTGGATTTAGGGTGTATCTCAACTATCCAATTTATTGTTTTTTCAGTGATCCGATCCTGGATTGAAAATGTGCAATTAAACACAGTTATTAAGATGTCTTGCAATCTCAACTAATGATATACTTTGGCTAGTATTTATATTTGAGATTTACATCTACAAAAGTTAGCTAGCCTTTTGTTATCATAACTAGTATTATCTCAATCTCACTCTATTGAGAATATACTATGTTATTAGATGTTAAATCTTTCATATCAAATATACTAATTAGTATATCATTAATTTTTTTTTAAGGCATACAATGACTTATACATCACATTTATGTCATTGTCTTGGTACTAGCTTTAATTCACTCAAGGACTTATAAGCTTGCACACTTTACTCTTCAACTAGAACAAATAACTCAGCTCTTCCGTTGGAAAAAGAACTTTTCTAGTTGTTCCATAATATTTTCCTCATAAGAAACAACATGCACTATTGTTATAATACTATAAATGATTTTTGGTTCTATCCAAAATTTCTTAGGATTAAGAACCCTACATTTATAAGTATTTCTTATTTGGTGAGGTAACTCATAGCAAATTTTATCTATGGACAATATCCCTCCACAACTTTGAGATAATCCTGAAATTTTATATATGATATATTTCTTATGGTTTTCTAACTCTTGAAATACCATATATTAAATATTTCACCCCATCTACCTTTCCAAGGTTCTATATTCGTTTTTCAACAAGCATGTCTAACAGTCTCTAGTGCATATGTATTCACTTTATTTCTAACTTGTTTTTATAATATGTTACTGACGTGACTGTGAATTAATGCTAGAGATATGGGCTTTAATTAATATTTGCTTCCACATCTCTTGTATTTATGAATTGAGTTATTCATGTTAAGTTAGTCATATTAACATGTCATAACCTTTCATGTGTCACACATCACATAACTCAATCATTTAAGCAAATAATTATCTTATTATTTAAGTTTTGGATACAATCACCACAGAGTGAGCACTCACTTCTCAAGTATTATTACACACTCTTCTCATATCTCACTACTAAGTTATGATGAGCACCCACTTTTCAGTTATTACCGTTAGCTTGAAGTTAAGTTTGTTTAGCTAACAATTCTAGTAACTCATAACTTTAGTACACACTTATCTAAGTGGTCTATCTTGGTAGTAGAGTAATTTGTTTTGAAGAATATTCTTCAAAAGCTACTACTTTACAAGTAGTATTATTCCCTCCTACATGAGCAGATATGATGTATAGCTCAAATAGCTTATGGCTAAAATGGCTACTCATCACCCTCATGTTTTTTTACTATCAAGTTAAGAGCTAGAACCAACTGACAGTTTTTCATCTTCCTCTTAGGTTTTGTGCACCTCATTAATCATTTTAGCTTATATTTAAGCTAACTAGTTTGTAACTCAATAACATTTTAGTTTTTAGCTAAATTGTATATTAGAGTTAACTAGCTTGATTTAGCTTGTCTTGGTGTACTTGTTTAGTGTATCCATAACATTTTCCATTAAATTCTTTCGAGTTATTGGAAAATTTTATCTGATTCAGCCCATTTACAGCTATACGTGTCTTAAACACTAGTATAGATCGTTTTCCTTTGACTATCAGAAGAGTTGACATAGTTGGACTAGTCCATTCATACAAAATTCAATAATATCACATATTAAATAAATTATGTTGTAAATTTGAATTACAATACACGTTAAGTAATTCAACTACATAGTTCAATATTATAGTATCAAATGAAAGTAAACATTTATAAAAATAATATTAAACTTGCACAACAATATAGTTTCATATTATATCACATGATTAATTATATCACATAATTAATATAAGAAATAATAATAATCAAGAGAAGAATTTGCTTCCTTAAAGCTTTGTGGCTTATTCTCCAATAAACATGCTAGAAAATCAGGAATAAAAGATTTAGACGTTCTAACCTTCTTACTACCTCTAAGCTCATCTTTATTTTCATCGTATGATTTATGCACAAGGAAATGATATGCAATACTGTTATGAGCATAATCTATCAAAGGTTTTATGTGTGGGGACTGTGCACTTGTAGCTCGCCTAGTGTGGTAGCCTGTTAGTGCCTCTTGCACCCGTTCACGACAGACTCACCTACAAGGTTGTCACATTTTAGGACCACTTTAACCTTTCATAAGAGTAGGATCTGCAACCTTAAATAGACACCCCCACACTTTTAAGAATTTATAAAAAGATTTTCAACCTTTCCATAATTCATATGATGTCACATTTCTAAGGTTTCATCTTTGCTTCGTGGCAAATACACATAACGGTATCTTGTGCAACCAATGATAAAAGTAACGAAGTACTTTTTTCCACCTTTAGTTGGTACATGTTTAAGGTAATGTCATATACTTCATAATATCATATTACAAAATTAAATAATTCAACCAATATTGAATAATTCAATAATCTACTTATATAACATGCTTCAATTTCACATAATATTGAATGCATTAATATTTAACATATTATCATATAAAAATGTATATAACATTATTTTATCATATCTCAACTATTAGTATAATATCTACTTGTTTATATCTTAAATAGAAACATATAATAAAATCTACGCAAGGAAGGAATCTGTCTTAAGATTGTTGGAAAAATATATGTTTAATGTGACTTTTAAGATATAATAACCCTTATACTAATATATCATGAGATAATTAACAATATGCTAATAAATCATTAATTAAATATGCAACTCTATATTTAATTAAATATGCAAAATAAAGCAATAAAATAATAATAATATGCAAGGAATGAACCTGGACCAAGGCTAGTATTGGATACTATGTCCTTAAGACAGATTCGCCCCGCTGTGGTGCTAACGGACTCAGTGGCTTCTATCTCCCAGAATACAACGGTCTACATCCACCGATAGCAGCACTACAAACTCGTGGATACGGCGAACCTTCTCCGTGTAATACTCTCTCTGACTCAAAAATGCATCTATGCTATATAAATGCTGAATTGGGTGCAATTCGAATCAAATAGTTCGAACCAATCTTAATATGGCTCGATGAAATTGGATTAGGGTCTAAGTGGTTCGGACTACTTAACCTATGGTTTGAACCCACTTGGGTTGGGTTCAAGTCTAGAGAGGGAGATAGAAGAAAATGAAAATGAACAATTTGCAAATGATCCAAAGGGGGGTATTTATAGAAACATAAATGTCTTTTCGGATAGGGTGTATCTCTTCATTATTGGATACAACCATTGCAATAGGTTGCAATGGTTCACATGGTGTCTGTTCACCACTAGACACATCTATTCCAATAGGTTGCAATGGTTCACATGGTGTCTGTTCACCATTAGACACATCCATTCCAATAGATTGCAATGTGCCTTTTCGAGTGGGTGCAACCATTGGTCATGATGGTTCGGAAAAAGGTGTAACCCTTTGAAAAAACTAAAAAGTGGTTTTTTAATTTAAAAGGTGTAACTCTTTAGAAAAACTAAAATATGGTTTTTTAATTTAAAAGGTGTAACCTTTTAGAAAAACTAAAAAGTAGTTTTTTTAATTCAAAAAACCAACCACCCAAAAAACTCACTCATTTGTGAAACTCATTTAAATAAGCCCAGCCCAAAATTAGGCCCAATCCAAAATTCCAAGAAAGAAAAATCTGGACTTTATAATTAGGCTTAAGCCCAAGCCCAAATCCTAAACTCAACTTATTTAAATTTCAATTTGTTTTAACATTTTTTCCATGTGGGACAAACACTTCCCATATTTTGCATACCCATTTAGGCTTATCAAAATACCACACTTTGGAGCTAATTTCTCATTCATCCGGAAACGGATTTCAGAAAGTAAATATACCACGTTCATCTCCTTGCGGAGAGAAACGCGCTTGTCTAGAAATCCGTAAAAAATTATTAGCGGAATCTATTTCAAATCTCATCCAAAGTTTATGTTTTTATTGCCTCCGTTTCCAACATATTATATTCCTATTTTGTTATTAAAAATAAGCATACACATATAAACAAAGAAGGGATATAGGCACTCCAATTTTTAATAATGGTACTTCACTTTTTGTTTCCTTCTTAAAATGAACTAATTGAAATTACTTTTCATCTGTTTCAAAACGTTTTCATTTAAAAAAAAATTATGTTTATAAATGTTTGGTTAATGGTAGTTACTTATTTGAGCTTTTGTAGAACTTTTGAATTAAAAAATAATACTAGATTTATCATTTTTCATTCTATTGAAAGAGATTATTATAAAATTAAATATTGATACTAAATAAACTAAAAAATATTTTAATTGTAATATCGCATCAAATATATATATTTTTATTACTTATAATTTCTTTTTTTTTTTAAATAGTTCTTCCCAAAAAAAAAAAAAACTACGGAGTAATTTCACTTGAGGGTTGGGCCTATTTTTTTAAAAAGGAGTGCATATGTAAAAGAGAAGGGGAAAGGGCAAAAACTCATAAATGGTTCGCTAGTGACCACTCTTGTGTAAATCCGTGATGGACTGTGACAGACCGACCAAAAACCCTAAATCCTCGCTTACAATTCGACAGACAAATACACACATATAGTATAGTATTTACTCTGTTTTGATTGTATTAGTAAATAAAATAGCATTATATACATACTCCTTTGTTCTCTCTATCCCTAACCCTAAAAACCCTTTTTCGCATTTCAAACCCCACCAAAGGAAAAATACCAGAACAGAGCAAGACCCCTGAACTTCCCGCGCTCCGTCTCTCTCTACACTACTTTCTCTCTCTATGTTTCTGTGGGCAATGGTCACAGACATAAAGACAAGACAAGTGGGACCGTGAAATGCTTGGAAGCGATGCAGAAGCTGTTGCGTCGAAGCCCTTCAACCCCCATTCTCTGTACTTCGGGTAACTCTCCAACTCCGTCTCTCTCTCTAGGGTTTTATCACAAGAATAAGAACCACAACTTTCTCTCTCTAGGGTTCAAGAACAAGAGATTCCTCTCTCCTTACTTACCCTCGCAACCCACGATGACTGCCGCCACCACTTTCCATCTCCGGCCGGCTACCGGCGCCGCTCTCGCCAGAAAAACCACCGCCGTATCTCATTTTTCTACCAGTAATAGTTGCCGTATCTGTCGGTGCTCTATCGACAACACTGTCCCTCCTAGAGCCTGGGCCGTGCTGAAGGAGAGTCGGACAGGGATTCGGTCGACGTGGACAATTACGGCTGCGGATAAGGGTTTGTCTGCGCCGGCGGCTGCGGTGGCGGAGGATTCGGAGAATTTGGAGGGCGGTGTTGAAAATGATGGAAAGAACGAAAATGGGTTGTCGACGGGTTCGGAGGAGAAGCCGATGAGGGTAAATAGGAGGCAAAGGGGCTCTTCTTGTGGTGGTGGTGCGGCGGCGGCGGCTGCTTTACCGGGGAATCCTGATTTGTTGACGATTCCGGGTGTGGGGCCGAGGAATTTGAGGAAGCTGGTGGAGAAGGGTATCTCTGGTGTGGCAGAGCTCAAACAACTCTATAAGGATAAGGTATTCATCCTCTCATTCTCTTTTGGTACTGATGCATTTTGCTAATTTTGGCTTGAAATAGACTTTAGATGAGTTTTGGTTTTGTTATTGAGGCGAATATATGTCAAAGTACTATGCTGTTTTAATTATTTCTTACCTAGTATTGGAAAATGAGGAAAGCTGAAATGTAGTTAAGTTTGCTAAACTCTTTGTGTTTACCACAACAGGTATATGATATATTTACGAGCAATTTTCAGCCTAGATCCAACTTTTTGTGTAGTTATGGTTGGCAGTTGACCCTTTTTTTTTTGGTTTCCCAAAATTTAATTGTTTTTCACTTCGTTAATTTTTTTTTTTAATCAAGCTTTTCTAGGGTTAATCCTACCAAATTTTTTTTTTTGATAAGTAGGGTTAATCCTACCAATTTTTTTTTTTGATAAGTAGGGTTAATCCTACCAACTTATACTGTAATCTAATCCAAGTTCAGCCAACTAGTGGTTGCTAGTCATGAATTCTGGAGCCATGGATTCGAGTACTTTACTTGAAGACCAATTGCAGACTCTATTGTGTTGAGAACTGAAAGAAACTTGTGATTATTTCATTCCAGTGATAATGTTTTTTTGGCTTTGCTGTAGTTTTTTGGGAAGTCCAGTCAGACTATGGTCGAGTATTTACAGGGCTCAGTTGGAATAATTCATAAAAACCATGCTGAGAGTATAACCACTTTCATCAAAGAGAGGGTTGATGATGAGTTAAAGGAGGATGTTTCCAACTCTGACGTGAGACAAACCCAAAAGAAACGCCTAACTTTTTGTGTTGAAGGAAATATCAGTGTTGGAAAGACAACTTTCCTGCAGAGAATCGCTAATGAAACGATTGAGTTGCAAGATCTTGTTGAAATTGTTCCTGAACCTATTGCCAAGTGGCAGGATGTTGGACCAGATCATTTCAATATATTAGATGCTTTTTATGCTGAGCCACAAAGGTATGCCTATACCTTCCAAAACTATGTGTTCGTTACTAGACTTATGCAGGAGAAAGAGTCAGCTGGTGGAATCAAGCCCCTCAGATTGATGGAGAGGAGTGTTTTCAGTGATAGGATGGTATGCATCCCGCTATTTGTTAGTTTCTTTAATTTAATTATGAATTTCATCTTTAATCATAAAGCATGGAAATTAACCTTTTGATGCAAAATTTAATTGAAAGTAGTTTCATATAGATTTTGGATTTGGTAAATGTGTTCCAATTTTGACCATGACTGGAACTGATTGACTTGAAATGTGGTAGTTGTCTCCTCTTCCCCTGTTGTTGATCCCATTTGAGAGGACAATGCTTGTAATGATAATATTGAGACTGATTCACTTTATCTTTTTCTTTCTTGAAAAGGTCTTTGTGCGAGCCGTTCATGAAGCAAAATGGATGAATGAGATGGAAATAAGCATTTACGACTCATGGTTTGATCCAGTAGTGTCGTCTTTACCTGGACTTATTCCTGATGGATTTATATATCTTAGAGCAAGTCCTGATACTTGCCATAGGCGGATGATGCTACGAAAGAGAGCTGAGGAAGGCGGAGTGAGCCTAGATTATTTGCGTGACTTACATGAGAAGCATGAGAGCTGGCTTTTCCCATTCGAAAGTGGAAACCATGGAGTATTGTCTGTCAATAAGCTACCATTTGATATGGACTGCCCTTTACACCCCGATATAAGGGACCGCGTGTTTTATTTGGATGGCGATCATATGCATGCAAGCATCCAAAGGGTATTGATCGTTATATTTTCTTCTTGGATTATGGTCTGACATAAAACTTTTACTTAGCTCTGTTTGGTGTTGAACAGGTTCCTGCTTTGGTTCTTGACTGTGAACCCAACATTGACTTTAGCAAAGATATTGAAGCAAAGCGGCAGTAAGTTAAATGTCCCTTCTTAATTCCTAGTAAATTAAGTTTATAAATTTTAAATTCTCTTGATTAATTTGGTTGGTCTATTTTTTATGTTCATATTAATCCTTGTTCTGTTTTGGTAAAGTATTGGCTTGGTAATCTGCAGTCCTAAAGTATTATGTCTTTACAATATCCTTTATGAAATATAAGCATTACATGGATTACATGGATGTTGTACATGCAGTTATTATCCGTCATTGTGTTTGCTAATTGGTCTACAACAGGTTATAACAAGCCTACCGGTAAAATTATTTCATTTCATTCTTTAAATGTAATGTGGGTGTTGATTGGGTTGTATCTCTGGCATTTTGTTTTCCAGTGATGTGTGTTCTGCATCTCATTTTGAACAGTGACTTATGAACTTCACCAATCTTTTCTTTGTGCATATACTAAATCATGTATATGTGTAGAGTAACTATATTCTTTTTCTTTGAAAAAACACTTCAATATTTTAGCTTTATCATCAGTAACCAGTTTTTTTATAGCATATTGTTGTCATGGAAGACCCTCATGATGGATTGATTTTACCTTCTAATTTTTAAACAAAATACTGATATAATTTTAGGAAGACCTGTGTGTGTGTGTGTGTTTGTTTTCTTTGGTTGGGGTGGATTTAGCAGGCCCAATAGCCCTCATTTAGAGTAGAAGTTCAGTATACAATTCTTGCTGTTATATGAATATCTTTTAATCACATCTTTTATTCATAGACTTCTGAGAAACAATTTTTATTGGTGATGATTCTTGTACAAGTCTATCCAAATTAAGATGAGGGCATCGTGGTTTACCTTTGTGAAATTGTAGAGGTAAGAGGAAAAAAAAAAAAAAAACATATATACCAAATTCAGTGGAAATGGAAAAAAAAAAAAAAAAAAAAACCTTATTTGTGCGAATTTTTCAATGGAAATGGAAAAGAAATTCCAAAACTACATTTTCAGTAAATAATATTTTCAGCAAATCGAAAAATAAAAATCCCAAAGTATATTTTCAATAAACATCTATCATCCATTTTCACAAATGGAAAAGAAATTCCAAAAGAATATTTTCTGGAAATTTTTTTTTTCTTCCTTGGGGTTTAATTCCAAATACATATAATTGTTTATTATAGTAATGAGTTTTTCAAATTTGATAATATATTACTATGTTTGGGGTTTAATTCAGAATCATATCATTCAATCACTGTAAAATCAACCGGGTTAATTGTTATTTCTTTAAATATGTAATAAGTAATTGTAACTTCAATGTTTTGATGTTTATTATATTTTCTTCTGCATATTGAACAAGTTTATCATTGAGTCCTACTCAATTGTTAGAGGTTGATAATATACTAGTATTTATAGTTTTCTTGTTTTTAATATCTATTGAATTTAGGTCATAACTTGGTTTGGGTTGACTTCTTTATCAACTTAATAGGTTCTGCATTGTTAGCATACTAAATAGTTAGCTTAGTCATTTTTCTTTATTTTCCTCGTGGAAAATATCACCTGGATAAAATACTTCGATGTTTTTTCCCTATCTTTTCATTCATAAAGTTGGTCAAGCGTTAGAATGTATCCACGAGTCAATCGACTAGAGATAAGGGTGGAAGCTTTTTATTTATTGGAAATTTTTGAGAAGGGAGATCCTAGTGGACATTGCCATACTGGATTGAAGGGAAATAGTTATCCAAGAATGGCAACTTATTTTTCTTGAGATAAATGTTGCCATCGAACTACGGCAGGATGGGTTAGGTGGCAAATGTTTGTCTTTTTGACTGATTTTATGAATACTGATAAAAAAAATAAAAGGGATAAATTTATAGGACCCCCGTGAGGCCAGTTATGCTCAATGTCATAATGCTAGCAACTAGTAAAAAATAATATAAATGAGTTTAGAAGTTAAAATTTTGAGATTGGATGTGTAGCAATACAAGGCAAAATAAAGCAAGAAATGATGTATTCATGAGAAGCTAATCATGCTATCAAGGGCAAGATTGATTTATGTGAGGCAAGGTATTGGATGAATCAGTAACGATCAGTTAATTCAAGATGAAAATGCAACATAGGCGAGAAGGCGGCCAGTCAAAATGCTATTGTTGCCCTTATCTTTGATGGGAGATTGGCTCTAATAGAGCTGCACTGAAAAGGGATCCTTGTTTCTGATTACTAGTCTAGAGGTAGTACTTCGTTGAGTTGTCATGGCGAAATATATTCAATGTGGGTTTAATATTATCTCCCATCTATTTATCCCCCAAGCTGCCTAGTGGAGAAGATGTTGAATTGTCAAAAGTTCGAACGTGTTTTAGGTTTTTAGATGATGTGGACCACCAACTTGGACATTTAAGTCACAAAGTTCTGTCACTTTTTTTTAATTTTTCTTTCTAATTTCTTTTATCTTATAACGTTACTGACTGGGTCGAACATTCTTTTTCTTTGTGCGGTAAAATGTTTTCTTTACGTTATTGACTTACTTTTTGCCATTTCCGCAATGTGAAGGTATGCTCGCCAAGTTGCAGAGTTCTTTGAATTCGTGAAGAAAAAGAAGGAAGTTCCTTCTTCAAAAGACACTGAAGAAGCAGCAAGAAGTCCTCAACCACAGTTATTGCTGCCTCATGAAGCTGGGTTGTGGGTACCTAAAGGGAAGCATTTCCCCGATTCTCCTTTAGATTTCAGACGAACCATGTCATACGTGTCCGGCTAGCGTCATGTCAGGAGATACGCTCTTACGCTGGAAACCCTTGGCAATGTGTTTAGCTTCTCTGCATGTAAAAAATGTTTTAGCCCTTCCCTTTGACTTTCGGAATTGTAGAGCAGGTTGTATTGTTAATGGGATACTGGTAGTGTGCTGTTAGTGGGCCGAACAGTTGTTTTATTTGAAGGTGAAAAAGGCTTTGGTTTATTGCTGTTTATGTGATCAGAATTTGGGGATTATTGTCTCATTGTGAATGGAGTTGATAGAATATGGGGCTGCCTCTAGTACCACTATTTACTTGAAATTATTATATAGTTCTGACCAATCATAACCCGTCACACAAGCAAAAATTTAAATGAGACTGGCACATTTATTTCTGTTTTTATTTTTATTTTTTATTGAGTGTTTGTCTATAATCATGGAATGCATTTTAAATTATATAGATCTATTTTTTGGTCTCCAGAAGATTCTAGTGTTTTTGCTAAATGTTACCCAGAAGAAGAAATGCAGGGTTTTGAAGTCATCGAAATGATTCAAGGGTTGTATGTATAACCAGAATCTGCTACAATGTGGTGCACCGGAAGCTCATATGCTTAATGACTTGGCAGAAGATCAAAGGCCAAGGATCAGATATACTATTCTTTAATGGGTGAGGTTTTTTAAATATAGTTTTAAATTTTTTTAACAACAAAATTTATTAATGATAGTGTACTCTAAGTCTCTAATGGCAATTAATCTTATTCATGGCTCAAAGAAACAAAATAGAAGTGACATAAAATAAGGTATTATTTAATTTCAAGATGATGTGCTTAATAGAGGGGTGAAAGTGGGAGGTGAAAGTCTCGCGTGATGCATAGTTATGTTTTTTTTTCTTTTCTATACTATTATCAAAGGACACACATACATATAAATAGACATCCAACCGATTAAAGTAGTGTATAATTACAATTTGTACTCATGTCGCCTTTTGTTTCGGCGTTCATTACTCATTGTATCACTACACCAATTAGACTTGATTCCTTCATGGATGTCATTTTGGTGTCACCATTACTAATACAAGTTACACGCTTACAATTTACATATCCATTTGCACAAATTTAATATACTTGTGGGCCCCACTAACAATTTTCAAAATTTCAAACTTTTTCCCCCCTTCTTTCTAACTATATACATGTGTATATATATATATATATATATTCCTGCAAAGGTGTATAAAAGACAAGTGAAGTGTTATCCACACCCAACAAACAATGTGATTATCAGAGAGAAGTGTGCTAAGAAGAATGAATGTGCAAACTCCAACTTTGATTCTCTAAATCTAAGCTTTTTGAAAATTTGGCATGTGTGTTGTAGTAATAGTTTTATACAAATATACATAATTTAATTTCTTTTGTACATAGCACCAATAATAGTTTAGTACACTAAAGTTTTACATCGACAATAACCTAGAACCTTGTAAGTTCAACATTCGACCACCAAGACTTGTGGCTCATTTGTCCATTTGTATTTTCACTCCTTTAAATATAAAAAGTAGGGGGTTCTAGTGTTTACCGAATGTGGAGCTTAATTGCCAAAACAAAACAAAAAATAAAAATAAAAAATGTCCAACACGTGATTCATTAAATACTATTTAGATTATGTCATTATGTGCACAAAGAAGAAGACGACTTTATCTGGATTTTTCTTTTCTATGGGGAAGAATATAAGATAACTTCATTAATTAGCATGTGTACATTGGTTCTATTTGCCTCCTCAAGTACTTGGCCTGCCCTCGTTTTTAATGAGGAATTTTGACATGGTCGTGGGGTACATGGTTCTGATCAATTAGGATGGAGTCAAGATTCACCGATTCAGGGTCGAGGGCACAAAGTAATACTTCATAAATGATACACTTATATGTAAAATAAAATAAAAAAATAAAAAAAAAAATCATTTTTAAGACTGTTTTTGAAAGAAAATAAATTTTAGGGGGCACAAAGTAAAATTTTGCAAATATTATACCTATACATATAATAAATTTGATGGGCTAGCTTGGGCTGGGGACGCGTACCCCCTCGGGGGCCCAAGCTCGCTCCGTTCTTACGATCAATCACATGCAGCCATGTACTTAATTGTATCAGTTTTTTCACATATTTTATATCTTATGTAACTTCGTGTGATTGGTTGAGACTATTTAATTCTAAATCATATAATAAATTTTTCTTTTTAATAACTTTAATGAGTTTGATGAACGCAATTTAAGGACCCCCTTAAGTAGATACAATATGTTGCATGACTCTTAATTTGGAGGAAAGAGGAGTTGGATGTCCAAACACTATTTCACTCTCCGTCTTTTGTCACTCACTTCTCTGTTCCATTTCTTCTATTTTTGCTCATCCCTCATTTAAGTACTTAGTGGAGAGAAAATAAAGGAATATGATAAAAATGGGCTAATGAAACAAGAGATGGAACATGAAGAAGAGAATTAAAGAAGACGAGCCAATAGTTTTGGAAGACAATGGAAGTTCCTGGCCCAATAGTTAGACCGGATGCTGGGTCTAAGTATCATCATAACTCTCTCTATTGCCATAGTTGCAAGTATTCCCATTTACTTCCAACCCAACAACTTGGTCCGGCTCACCGGCTCAAAAAGTATCTGTGCTTCTTAGTTGTTGACCTTCAACCCTAAGCATGGAAAATTATTATTCCCTCGGTTCAAAAAAAAAGAAAGGTTTCGACTTGAAAATATAATTTTTTTGGCTGATGTCATATGGTTAGTGGGAGACTCTATAATTATGACAAATTATCATAGTAGTAGAAAATGAATTTCAAAGTATTCATGTTTTTATAACTTCAAAGTAGAGAGGGTAAATTAGAAATATTTTAAAAATAGAATACATTAGATTTTGAATTAGAATAATTATTTTGGGATAACTTAAAGATGGACAATTTCTTGCCGGACGGGGGAGTACATGGTAGGTGTAACAAGGGTCATTTGTCCCACATCGGATTAGGATGGAAAAATGATTGGTTATAAATGGGTGGATATGCAGTACTACCTAACAACTTGAGTTTTTGGGTAAATGGGCAAGCGCTCACCCGTTACAGTTGATATCAGAGTCAGACTCAGTCTTTGATTCGATGCCACGCCAAGCGCCCGGCTCTAAAGGCATCCGGGTAAGCCACCACGAGTAGGTAGGGTGGCCTAAACTGCAATGAGAGTGTTGCAAGTTTGGGTGAGAGAGAATGTAACAAGGGTCATTTGTCCCATATCGAATCCGGATGAAAAAAATGATTGGGGATAAATGAATGGATTTTGGGTAAGTGCACACCCGTTACAATAGAAAAAAGCCAAAAACTGACCGGTCCTTTACAAGGGTCGCGACACCAAGTCAAGCTTGAAGAGTTGTGAATTTAAGAGGTGGCCATGTTTTACATTTATAGAAAGCCACTACTACCTTTCTCTTTATAAAATATAGATAGGGCGAGTAGGGATCGTCCCAAGGGATTTGATGGTGTATCGAATTGTGAAACTATGGTAATTAGGGTTAGTAGGTCGAGTGATCACACAATTGATTGGTTGGTTGATTAAGCTAAATTGAATTCAACTAAATAAAATAATATGAAGTAAACAAGAGAGAGAGAGGTCTTGGGGTGTAGAGATCACCACCAAGCAATACTTTTCTATACTACTAACAAGTGATCAATTGAGGGTAATGGATGTGTTGCAATATGATAAGGGTGTGTGTGCATTAGGTTGATTCAATTGGCAAGGATGACAAATCAAACAAGTATTGTCTAAACATCATGTGAAGAGCACAATATATCTAAACAATAGAGCATATATTGTCTAGACAACATGGGGATAGCACAATAGATCAAAACAAGTCATTAATCCTTCATTAAGCTTACAATCCACATACAACACAATATTAGAGAAATATGCCATTTGGACTCACAAGCATGGAACATCAAACATCAAGAGTAGATTGTCCTCCCATCTAACATTACACTACCACTACACTAAATCTACACTACTAGCATGAAAATAAAGCTATCTAGACTATGGGAGAGGCACAAACCATCAAGAATAGGCATAAACCATCAAATGAACCAAAATAGCATTCATTAAGCATATTATCTTGATAATCTCTAGATTTATAGCATCAATACACATAGACATGCATCAAAAACACTAAATCTAGGGATAGGCACATGAATATATTACTCTAGCATACATAGACATATGGATATAATAGAATAGTCAATTGGAAGCATTAAACCATATAAACCATGAAATAATCAAGATTTATATATACATGAATATCAAGATGTATCATACAATACTAATCCCTCAATAATACACAAGATTAGAGTATAGAAAGCATGCTTGGGGCTAACTCTAGCCCCAAGAGGATGTCTAGCCACTCATGGTAGTGATGATCCAACCCTCAAGGGCTAACTCCATGGCTGCTCCTTGTTGGTGAAGATCTCCTCTAATGGTGCTCTAGCTTCCCTCCTTCCTCATCTCCAAGAATAGCCTCCTAAGATCAATTTTCAATGTGTGACAAGAGACTCTCCCAAAAAGTGTATCATATTCCTTATATAGGTAGGTCAAATACACCCCATGATGAGCTATGGTCGTGCAAGGCATATTCTCCAATCATTGGATGAAGGACGGAATAAATGAGCTGGACTTTAACTTTTTCTCGCTGGAGGAAGTTCGATCGATCGAACCTTAACTTGGATCGATCGAAAATGGGTTCGATCGATCGAACTGCATCTTGGATCGATCGAAGTGGTCTGACTCCTCCGGATAATGACAAGGCTGGGATATTTTCAAGATATTTATGGGGAAAAAGACAAAAGTGGTTGGTAGGCGTACAGTTGTGGATAAGATCAATCATTTGAATAGGACAAAATAGGGTTCGATCGATCGAAGGTGATGTTCGATCGATCGAACTTGGAATTTCAGTAAAGGCCAAGGTTGGATCTATCGAGAAGTACTGTGATCGATCATAGATGTTCGATCGATCGAACTCTAAGTTGGATCGATCGAACTTTTCAGCTGCACAACTTGATTCCTTTTTGCTCCTTTCTTTCTCCACTTTGCTCCCTCCTTTGGTTTATCTCAAGATTGCTTCAATTAAGCTCTTATTTGGCTGAGTTAGCTCAATTTTGGGATTAGTGCCTGAAAATATAAATAACGCGTAATAAGTCTAAAACGG